TGCATGCTGCTCTTCGTCAGTAGGGTACAGTTCAGTATCCAGTATCCGACACAAGCCCTGCACTGAACTACAGGACAGGTGTGCGACTAGCCCACTAACATCAGCCACTGAGATAATCAGCCCATCTGAAGACCCGCCCCATTTTCCTCAGCCCTCCAATCACTGCTTTGGAACCGTTGCTAGCTGCTTTGCAGTGTGTACCTTTTTATTTGGGTGAAAAAATAGGCCTGTGTGACTTTTGAAAGACACCCCATACAGTGACAGAGGACAGGTCTGTGTTTTCTGTCCATCTCCAAAGCTACAAATAAACTTTAAAAAGGTTAGCTTTGGTCTGGTCAGTGCGGTAAACCTGTGTGGTTTCCAAACACACCTGTTTTCCTCCATTTGCGAGCCATTACAGTCGTAGTTGGTAATTTGACTGAATAATAATCAGTGTGACTCACACAGGAGCCCGAATAGCCGATGCTGAGAGTATCATTCGGCCACTTTTAAATAGTAAAAAGTTCACTTTAAAAAGTAATCAAACCACCTGGAGACCAGCAGAGAGCGCTGGTGTGGCTTCAGTGTCGCACTGAGTACAGCAGCATTTGGACAAATTTCTTTCATTTTGCTGTTATTAATATATTGAAGTCCATTATTAAAACTCCTGGCAGTTAAGTCAGTGGTAAAGTCCTCCCGGAATGGCTGTGTTGCATTTTGGGATGCAGGAGATCAGAATACTGGAATATGCTTCCGGAGCAGAATGTCATCAAGCATCTTTGGCATGCTGGAGAAATCCATGTTGGTCACATACTGCATACTGCTCACTACTGTTGTGCAGAATCAGTGCGCGAGCAGTGAGTTACAGACTATTTCCAGCACAGCCTGTGTTTTATGTCATGGGCAATTTTCGTGCTGACCAATCAGATTGAAGATAAAGCTGGCCTTTACGGTAATGGAGGAGGGATTAGTGGTTGCATCATGAGAAATCAAAAGGAGCCTTTTTTAGGTTAGCTTGTTGTACCCAGTTAACAGTAGAAGTAAAACGTTTTGTAAATGTAGTGCTTGAGATTTCAAGTACGTTTGTGTAGTTTTGTTTTATTATCTATTAGCAACAACTGAGTTTGGCTCATTTTAGCCATTGCTGGCTGTTTAAAGCAGAGATTTTCTAACAAGACCTCTGTAACTCAGTATTTTACACAGAGATTCAGAGGAAAATTTCTTCCAGAAAATAAAAGCTGAAAAGGTGCAAGAAAACCTACTGTTTGCTGTGGGGTTGTTTACACTGCCATGGCTACACTGCCATCTCTGAAACATCCACATAGTCCTGACCAAGTAGAGAAGTTTTTTTGGGAAGTTTTTGTAGCTTTTCACCCAATTTAAATGACAGAGTTTGAACAGCTAAATTGAAGTTCAAACATGTTAGAAACTCTCAAATCATTCCCTAATTATCAAAAACACAAAGAAAAACATAGAAAAAAAATTGCTTTCAGAATGATCAGTAAGCGTGTGGGCGTGGCCTAATTGGCAACTCTACTACTAGGATCTTTTCATTGACACATCTCATTTACAGAAGTGGTTCTTCAAAGCACCATCCACTGGAAGGTTCTTTAGGGAACGAAAAGTTTTTCTAAACAACTTTTGAAGACTGTAGATGGTTTCAGCAGAGCTCAGTGCACTCAAAGCCTCCATTATAAAAACAAATAAATAATAGCAGCTTTTGTTCATGCAGCGTTCTGGACATTCTTCACATCACTCACATGACAAAAGCAGCTCTGACTGAGTGAACAGATGAGCAGTGTTGTGTGTGCTGTGTGACTGAGGAGTGGGTGGACAGAACTGCTGTTGGTGAATAGAGCTGGTTTCTGGTCTGCACTCTGAACAGCTACAGTCGCAACTCAGGGCTGGTCAGGAAGGAAGTGCTGCTGACCAATTGTTCAGGCTTTGGCAGCCAACAGCAACACTGCGGTGGAATATTGTTATATTAAGACTTCAGAAGTGATTTTGCTGACCGATAGCCGACACACTGGTTCCAGAGGAAACACTTTCACTGTGTTCTTACTGATGATGTAATTGGTTTATGTTAGGTAGAAGGTCATAAATGATTAAAGATGGTCAGAAAATCAGCATCTTTTATGCTCGCAGGACTTCACATATATGGAATGAACTTCTTGTAGAATTAAAAAAATAAAATTATGGATTATTAGTATCAGTTTTGGCCAAACCAACACTACATGGTTCTTTGCTTGGGCGTAGGATTTTAAGAAAAAAAAAACATTGCTAAGAACATTTATATTATGTGCTGGTTCTTTAAAGATCTCATTTAAAAAAATGGTTAATTAACTATTTAAAATCTCAGGCTTATTACATACTGAGCCTTATTATTCAGTAACAACAGGGACTTCAGTGCAAACCGGCTGAGCTATTCTTAGGTTATAGAAGTGTGTAATAATAATTGGGTCCACCAGTGGGCCCTGGACGTTTAGGGGGTGAAATGGCTCTTCTATGGCATGAACTGCCCAAACATCCCTTTTTGGCATCGTTATTTTTGATTGAAGATTTTAATCATCAGTTTTCTATTATCAGTCCAGAAATGTATCTCTAAAAGAAACTGACTGATCCTCGTTCAGCGTTCTCATTGTGTTTAGCTTCGGTGGCTGGACAGAGGGTCATGACCTTTGTCCTCTGACCTGGTCAGTGTGGCTCCTCTTTAACAGGAAGTTTGGGCATTGAAAAGGCTGAAAAGAGGAAATACCAGAGCGGCACTGCCCTACAGAGAAATCAGCAAAACAAAAGGAGCTAAAATATGGTTCTACACTGTCTGAAAAAAGGGTTCTTGGATTCTTATTGTCCTGGTAAATTTTAGCCAAAGTACAGACGGTGTAAATGTTCCCTCAAAGGTGTAACAGGGTGCAGCTGTGCAGTTGAAGTCACGTTCCCTGGAGAAACTGGGGCACATTTGTAGCTTTTGTTAGCTTAACTGACTTAAGTAGAAAAAGTAAAGATCGTGGAGTGAAGAGTCTCAGTGCAAGCTAAAAAATAACAAAAAACAGAGAAAATGGTAAAATTATATTCCTTAACTAAAGGTAATGAAGAACAACACAGTTACATATTCTTCTACTTCACTTAAACACAGTCTGCCTGTAACCGCGTACCCAAATTAAAGGGGGCGCTGTTCCCACAGACTCGAAAGGAAACACTCTCAACCATCAGAATAACTGTCTGAGTTACTGACTCAGAGTCACCGAGTCTAGAATGGAGGAGTTCATTTCCTCCTGACTTCCGTGTTATCAGACCACATGTTCTGGATGATGGTGTCTCTGTGGAGGCGGCGAGGCTTTGAAGTTGAGGACACACAGGTTTGCTGGTGTTTGCTAATTCGATGCTGATGCTGCAAATGAGACAATCATGACTGCCATGAATAATGGATCATAAAAAGGTTTGTGGGAATCGAATCCGGAGAGTTCAAGCTTTCTAACGGTGTACTGCATCACTTCTTGTATTGCTGGCTTAATGCCGGTTAAAAACTTGTTGCTTACCACCCAAAGGTTAGAAGGTCAACATGTACAAAATTTGGCGGACTTCTATTTTTGAAATCCCTCATCAACAATCATTATAAATAGAGTTATTAAAATGACTGAATTATTAAAAGTGATAAATACATTCTGATTACGTTTATTTTGTCCACTCATATATCTTTAACAAAACACGCTTTTTTAAAATGGTACAGAATCTTTCTTTTAGGGCTAAATTTGAGCAAATAAGACAAACATGATTAATCATGATTGACTACACAAAGTAATGCAGTTAATGATTGTGTTTATCATTTGACAGACCTTCCTCTAAAACTGTGAAGCTGAATAAGTAACTCAGCCTGTTTTGTAGGAGCATCAGGATTTGTTTTAGTTCTTCGTCTCTGGTTTAACTTCACCTCTAATTCTAAGACATTTGTCAGATGAAGAGATCAATAACTGTTTGTTGCTGATGTTTGTTTTTTATTCATTAACTCTGTGGAGGGAAAGCTTCCAAGTGTCTGTTTCAGTGTCCGGTCACTTTGAAATCAGATTAGACGTTTATAAGACCTGGCAGGGGCATTTACTCAGAAAAGCCTCTTCCTTTCTCTCTGTTCTGTCCATCTCTCTCTCTGTCTTTATCTCCTTCCTGTCTCTCTGCAGGTCAGCGGATATTTAACTCCTCTACAAATGTTCTCAGCTCCAGGGTTCTGATTAATCCCTCCGAGGAGCTTCTCTACTCAGAGGTTTGGTCATGCAGCATTTGTTCATATATAAATACAATTCTGTCTGTACTGACTCACTTTTTACACGCAGCCCTATTGAGTAATGTTAATTAATTCTTTCCCACAAGATATTTTACAGGGGAGCATTAAAACAACAGAATTTAGAAAATATTTGTAATTTCATGCAGATACGCAGCCTGATATTGGACTCGAGTCAGCACAAGCTGCTCGTGCTTGCGGGACAGTCACTGGAGGACACTGGGGACATCATCCTGCAAACTGGACACTTCAGTCCAAACCACTTCTCTCAGATCTTTGAGGATGAGGAGGTCTGTGCTCTGCTATACAATCAAATTACAGTCTAAATGTTAGCAGAGGCTTTTCCACATAATTCCAATCAAAAGTCTGAATATTCCTGCTCCTTATTTTTACTGTTTTCCACATTTTAGAGTAAAAGTGATGCATCTTTACACTCTTTCAAACTACTTGTTGGAGTCACTTCCAGATAAATTCACACATCAACTTCAATATTTATGTTTACCTTAGGAACAAATTTCTAGCATTAATGCATAAACCTTTATGATTTTGAATGTATGAGAAATATACCTTCCTTCTTTTTGACTGGTACTGTGTGTAAGCCTGTACTGATGTGAATTTTGGAGATAAGGATTCACAAAATTTTCTTAAGAAAAAAATCTTCTGAAGTGTGTCTTTTTATCTTAACTACATATTTAAGTAAAAATATAAATTAAAAATTAATTAAGATGAATTATTATTCTTTTTAAGATTTTTTCTTATTTCTTATGTTTTCTCTTAAGAATATTGTAAGAACAAGTGGTTTTCTTGAAAACAATGTTCTTAAATATTTCTGTACTGTACTGTATCATTGGCAAGGTCTCACTAATGATTCTAGTGATTTTCACAAACTATAGCTGTTAAAATAAACCAGTGAGGATAAACCAATGTGTTTTGCTGTTGGCTGTTTCCTCCACTATCACATAGTCCTTGTTTGTTAATTATTTTTAATGTTATGTTTGATTTTTGTTTTGCTGTGCTTAGGCATTAATGTGATTACAATGAATAACCAGTTAGTGAAAATATGATTTAATTTCTGGCAATATATAAAATGTAATATAATATTGATAGTCTACATGACAAATAACCCACAGCCTACATACATAAACCATTAATATTTTCTTAAGAGAATAAGGCTTTTGCTAGAAAATATTTGAGTACCTTTTTGTGAGAATTGCATGTAAGAACATTCTTATGAACTTATTAGTGTTTGTCTTAAGATCCTTCACAAGTTTTATCTTAGGAAAGTTTTCATGAATCCAGGCTCAGGTCTCCTACTTCTATCAGTATTTGTGTGGGACAAAGCACACAAATTTCTATATTTACAATGATTGTACTGTTCTTTTGTATAAATGTCTCCAACAGATCCAGTCAGTACTGAATGCTGCGAGTGCAAATGGAAAACCAAGCCTGACCCTCAGCTGCCCAAAGACTGGAAAATGGAAGAACTCTGTGCTTGGGAAGCACAACATTCAAGATTTGATAGACATTAAGGTAAACCCTCTAATGGTGCTCCCCAAAATGGAAGGCCTTCAGGAGTTTACAGATCATCTCACCCAGACCCTTGAACCAATGTCACCATTTGACCTTTTGGAGCCTCCAAGCACGGTGGGTTTCCTCAAGCTTTGCCGTCCCTGCTGCTACATCTTTCCAGGTGGGAGGGGGGACTGTGCCTTCTTTGCGGTCAATGGATTCAACGTTCTGGTCAATGGTGGGGCTGACGAACGCTCTTGCTTTTGGAAGTTGGTGAGGCATCTGGACCGTGTTGACTCCGTTCTGCTCACTCATGCTGGGACAGATAATCTGCCAGGGATTAACAGTCTGTTTGAAAGGAAGGTTGCAGAGCTTGAGAAAGATGATTCTTCAAACTCAAATAAGAAAGAAAAATGGCTTAAAAATTTAATCTCTCCAGAGCTTGGCGTGGTTTTCTTCAATGCACCAAACAGGCTGAAAAAACTTCAAGGTGACCCAAATGTGCTAAGAAGTAGCGATCAAGCAGCTCTAACTCTACGCCATCTGGAGAAGCTTAAGATATCCCCAGAACTACTACTTCGCAACTCGAGTGGTTCTATAGAGCCAGTTGTTCTGTTTCAGAAGATGGGAGTTGGGTGTCTTGAGCTATATGTCCTTAACCCAATAAAACGCAGCAAAGAGTTTGAGGCGTTCATGCACAGCTGGCCTGAGAGTAGCTCCAATCCCAAAGGCTCAGAGATTCCTTTAACCTCTCTGGTTTCTATCTGTGCTTTGCTTGTGTGGCATCCGGCCAGCCCACATGAAAAAATAATCAGAGTCCTCTTCCCTGGTTCCACACCACAGGGGAAGATATTGGAGGGTCTAGAGAAGTTGAAACACCTAGAGTTTCTCAAGCGACCTGTAGTGTGCTCGAAAGACATTGAATCATCAAAGTCAGAAAAGAACCCAAAACGTGCAGAGAGCCAAGACAGCCTCAAATCCAACACAAAGGAATCCAGAACAGGGACAGCAAGTGCAGCTCCAAAGGAGAGATCAGCTCGTGGGTATCTAGAACCAAAGGACAAGCCCAAAGTTGTGAATGGAAGTGACTCTACAGGTGACGAAAGGCTGAAGTCTGTGGAAAACAGTGGCAAACTAAAGCCCTCCAAGCCTGTTTCAAGGAAGGAGTCTTTTAAGGATAATAAAAAAGATGAAAGTCGTAGTGCATTGGTGACAAAGAAACAAGAAAATGTGCAAAGGAAAATGTCTGGAAAAAAAGATTTGTCTGTTAACAAACCAAAGGCAGACTTGAAGCCTGAACATAAAAAAGATGAGAAAAATGAAGATAAAAAGACCAGTTTGTCAGGAAAAGATGTGAAGAAAGCCCCTTCAGCATCTGTATTCCCTCCTTTAGACACAAGTAAGTCTGCAAGTGCAAAGAAAAATGAAACAAAAGAAAACAAGGGGGCAGAAAGTAAGGTAAAAAGCAACAAATCTAACAAGGAGCAGCAGAACCAGAAGCTATCAGGTGATGTGGAGGATCCAAATCACTCCATAATTTCTTCACCTGAAGATATGACATCAGAGTTTCTGGAATTGGAGCGAGAGCAGGCACATGATGTTTCTGCTAGTAAAAACTCGGACCACCCCTCTGGGACAGGTTCAGGGAATGAAGATGATCTGAAGAACGACCACGGCAATCCAGAGAGGGCAGATTCTGGAGAAGCTGTACCCAATCCAAGCAAGGCCATTGATTCTTCTGCCCACTTTGTCAAGAATCCAAAAAGCGAACGCAGTGTGAATTTGGACCTCACACCAACGGAGTACACCCTACTCGATGGCGCTTTTAAAGACAATCTGTCCAAATGTGTTCAGGATGAAGTCTGCATCAGCCCTGATGAAAAGACTTTGGAGTTGAGTTCTCCTAGATCTGGCCCGAATAGTGCTGGCCATACGCCCTATCATCTGTCCCCTGAGGAGACTTGGGCATCTAGGGACCACAGCAGTCTGGGAGCCAAGATGTGCCTTGGATCAGAGAGTCAGCAGGTAGGAGGATCCAGCAAGAATTCAGAGTCTGGATGTGCGAAGAGTAATCAGGAGAGCACCTCTGCCTCATCCAAAGAAAAACACTCCAGTTTCCTGTCCCTGAGTTCTTTCAAGGACAATATGCCTGATATATCTCCCACTGTGACTACCACCCACTCAATGCCAGCAGAAGTTAGCTCACCACAGTCCACTGAAGTTGATGAGTCTTTGTCAATGTCCTTTGAGCAAGTCCTTCCCACAGTCAGTGAATCCACCAACGAGGATGAGACGTCCTACTCCAACGGTCAGTATGTAGATTCTGATTTCAAGGTAGGAATGTCCCTGTCCTTAAAAATGGCCCACACCAAGAGAGTTATGAACGATGGCTTGGATGGACGTCCTCCTGGACCTCAGGGCCTGATGTTTGATGCTGGTGCCCATGATGTTGACCTGTGCCTAGTGTCTCCATGCGAGTTCAAACATTTCAAATCTGCAGGGAACCAACAGCATCCGCTTTCTCCGGGACTTACCACAACCAGCAGCCCTCAGGATCTCTCAGATGATAGTGACCATTCCCAGGACGTGGCAAAACCCTTACCACAAGTATATTCAAACACCAAGTCCACTTACCTAGCCCAGGAAACTCCTTTGACTTCTGTTAGTGACTACTTCCCCAATGCCTCAGATTTGGATGTTCATCCTGAAGTAGAGGAATGCCCCTCCATAACTGCAGACGGTGCATTAGATTCTGATGAGGAAGCTGGCATGCATTTCTCCTCTCAGAACCCTACTGATGGTGACAGGACAAACAACTCCCCACTTCAAGATCCTCTGCCAGTCACTGTGAAGGACTTGCCTCCACTTCCACCCCAGCCTGGGGCCTGCATGCCTGATCTGGGGAAAGTCAAGGTCGGAGCGACAAAGAACAAAAAGATGACTGGCGTTACTTCGTCCACCAGCTCAGCGCAAAACAGCAAAACCAAGACTGGAAATCAAAGCGGATCAGCTGGTAGTCTGAGATCGAGCTCCACTGTAGACAGTTCTGCATCACGCTCTGCTAATTCTGCTCCAAAAAGACTGACTGCATCAGGTAAGAAGAGTTCTGTTCAAATATACACAAAGATGGTTGTCACATACCTTTTTTTATGCCAGTTTGTACTGGAACATCTGTTGGTTATTTCAAGAAACTGACATATGTACACACAACAGTCCTTGACAAAGAGTTTCTTCTTTTCCTATCAGCAGGAAACAAGGGCAGTTTGTCAGTATATCTTGACTTGGCGTATCTCCCGTCTGGCTATGCAGCTTCCACTATTGACCTTGAGTTCTTCTGCCGCTTGCGATCCTCCTGTTACATCATAAGTGGGGACGACTCTATTAAAGAATCCATGATGAGGCCCATCCTGGATGCCTTACTGGATGGAAAGTCCTTATGGCCTGAGCATGTGCCGGTCAGTTCAGATTCTTTTTTTGTTTGAACAACATAGTGAAACCTTGAACACAGATAGGTGTAACAAATCTATGGAAGAAGAAGATGATTATAGTTGCATTTTGTTTAAAAAAAGATGTCATGATCAAGTAATACAATAGTATTCTCATATTCTATTATGAGAAGGAATTGAATTGTAGATGTAACCTTGTGACATGTTTGCAAGATGTATTGCTGTAGATGACATGCACAGGTTCAACCACGAACAGCTTCTCTGACAACTTAAACAAGTCATCTTAATTTCCATGCTCAATGCAGTTTATAAAAGCCTAATAAAATACATTCTCATTATTTTATCTTGAGGATAGAAGCTCATTGTCATTCTGTCAAGTCCTTTACTTTTTCCAGAGGTCAGTTTATACTTTGTTCATCTCTTGCATCGGGTCATCATGTTATTTCCCAGTGTATAGTACTATACAGTCTTAATCCGGCTAACAAAATTAAAAAAAAAGTAATCAAAGTGTTGTTTCTCAGGAAAACGTTTTAAATGATTTGTCATAATATTTTGTTTTGTTTTATACAATAATAACTTACACAATGCAGATTTGAATATTAGTTAAATATGATTCCAGTTATAAAACTAAACACTAAAAAGGATTTTACATGTTGTAGTTAAAGTATTTTAGGAACAGCTAGATGTTATTGAATGGCAAATAATCTACTGTAATTCTCTGTTCACTGTGGTCTGCCCAGATAAATAGCTTTAAATAAAAAAAATTCCCAGTTGGCCTAAGAATTTAGTGCAGTACTGTAGATCTAGATCTAAGTTACGTATCTAGGAAAAGCCCTGTATTTTTCCATCTCAGTCTGTCTTACTTCTTGTCCTACAGGTGACGTTGATTCCCACGTTTGAGTCGGTGATGATGCATGAGTGGTACCAGCAGACCCAAGAGAAGCAGCGGCAGTTGGGCATCACGGTTCTGGGCAGTAACAGCACCGTGGCCATGCAGGAGGAAACGTTCCCCGCTTGTAAAGTGGAGTTTTGAGAGATGAACAAAACTCCACTGTTGACCTGAGCCTTTACCTTCCCTTTTCAGCACTAACTTTAGCACTTAAACCCCTGGAACATGGAAAAGACCCGTGCCTGCATGGTTTGATCACCCGAGCAATGAACGTAGATTTGTAATCTTGGTAATTAATATTGGACTGGAGCTGTCTCTCAAATAGAGTACTTCTGTAGTGTACTGGCCTCTTGTAGTGCACGTAGTGTGTTCACACTGGAAAATACAGCAGGATGCTACGCTAAATCTGCCAAAAATTTAGGTTTTAGCTCCTCTGCAACTACACTGAAGGCTGTAGAAATTGCAAAGCCGTAGGATTTAGAGTGGCCATCAGAACTAGCGGAGCAGCATCAGTAGATGCTGTAGAGGAGGAACCATCAGAAGAGTAGCAGTCAGAGGAAGATGTAGTAAGAGGATGAGCCATCAGACAAGGCTGTCGGAAGAGCTGGAGCCATCAGCGGACACTTTAAGAAGTGGAAGAGCCTTCAGTGGAAGCAGTAGGAAGGGGAGGGGCCTTCAGAGGAAGCAGTAGGAAGGGGAAGAGCCTTCAGTGGAAGTGGTAGGAAGGGGAGGGGCCTTCAGTGGAAGTGGGAGGATGGGGAGGGGCCTTCAGAGGAAGCTGTAAGAAGGGGAGGAGCAGTCAGATGAAGCAGTAGGAAGGGGAGGGGCCTTCAGTAGAAGCGGTAGGAAGGGGAGGGGCCTTCAGAGGAAGCGGTAGGAAGGGGAGGAGCAGTCAGATGAAGCAGTAGGTCAGGGAGGGGCCTTCAGTGGAAGTGGTAGGAAGGGGAGGGGCCTTCAGTGGAAGTGATAAAAAGGGGAGGAGCAGTCAGAGGAAGCAGTAGGACGGGGAGGGGCCTTCAGTGGAAGCGGTAGGAAGGGGCCTTCAGTGGAAGCGGTAGGAAGGGGAGGGGCCTTCAGTGGAAGTGATAAGAAGGGGAGGAGCAGTCAGAGGAAGCTATAGGAAGGGGAGGAGCCTCAAATAAAACTATAGAAAGGGGAGGAGCCATCAGAGAAAGCTGTATGAAGGGGTGAGCGTAGTTTGTAATGAGGCTGTTTCAGTTATTTGCAGAAATTTGTCATTTCCAAAACACTAGTCTTCTAATTAAGACGATCAGCCACTCCACCCCTCAAATCTCCAGGCTCTAGATGCACTAGTGCACAGTGTGAGAATATTTAAGAATATAATAGTACCCGATTTGAGACGCAGCAGTTGTGATTTGCATTGCACAGGCAATGTGGTAAAAAATTTGGTCATTAGTCCAGTTCCAGCTCATGTCTGTAAAAAAATACACATTGATTTATGTTGTTAAAATATCGTATGTAAGATAAGTTCACAGTACAAATAGTAAGTTGTGTGCATCATTTCATCTCTGATACTTGATTATGCATCTCCTCGCTTTGCCTTTAAAACAGTGACAATCCTGTAAGGTACGGATTACACCAGCCTCTCTGAATGAGCTCCTGCTACCACTGCTCCACTCTTCCATTGAGTTGGTGCACATTTCAGCCAGAATTCCTGTCTGCCTATTTTCTGATGTTCCAGACTGAGAATTGGGATTGAGGTCTGGTGATGTTGCTGGTCAGTGACACTGTCCCAGTGTTGCATCATGCCTGTTGAGCTAGTCACCTACAGTCGTTCAGTGGGAAACCATGCCTGAAGTCCCAACCAATGGGAGAGCTCGCTTGGCTATATTTACCTAGATATCAGAGAGAAAACTATCCTGACTGGATCATTTTCCGTTGGACATTTGAAGATTTTAACCAGAATCGGAGTGGGAAACCGGGAGACATTGTCTCACAAGCTGTACAGCCCCGGTTATACAACTCATACAGTGGAGAGAGATTAGATGAAGATGATGTTAGCTTCTTACTTTTACTTCCCGTTCCACCTTAAATGATGTACCACTTACATTCAGATGCCTGTTCGGGCATTAGCGTGTAACTGGGGCTCTATTTAAGGTGGAACGGAAATTCCAATAGGAAGCTAACATCAGCCTTGAGAGCTCCAATTAAGCGTGATGACAGACAGACAGAGCTCCACTGAGTTTATTACTGTTTTTTGCAATTTTCATAAATGAGTTATGTGAAGATGGACAGAACTGCAGGTATGATAAAGCTAGTTAAGGATTATAGAGCAGGTGGGCAGTGAGAAACACTGACAGGACGTTAAGTTACTTAGCTAACGTTAGCATCGCTCATAGCATATTGACTGTCATGATTGTGTCACATTTAAGACAAAAGCTTTCGCCAGTTTTCATTTCATCACTAGCCACCTTGTTTATCTCAGTATGTAAATAATAAATAAGAGATAAGAGGAAGAAAAGACGATGAAAATGCACAGAAACAGTACAGATTACATTGCATGAAGGCAGTGCTGTGTGTGTAGCAGGAGAAATACAGTTAGAGTTTAAGGTGGGCTGGTCAGCATGTGCCTCCTGGTCTGAAAACAAGTCCCACTCCGGCCTGATTGTTTCCAAATGAAACTTAACCATGGCTTAAGAGTATTACTACAGTACCTCGCTGATATTAAGGCAAGAGGATGCACACTACCAAAAATGATGTCTTGGCATATTAAATTATTTTAAATTAATTTATATATCTAATATTTCTCATTTTGAGATGTTATAGGGATATAGAATAATCTCACGATCCTGGCAGATAATTACGCTCATTTTTAAAAAAACATGCTTGAAGCTAAAAAAATTATCTGCCAATATTGTGAAATAATTTCAACAATAAAATGACTTAAAATAAGTAAAAAAAAAATCTACAAATATGTTAAATATTCTTAGATTCTGACAACCATTTCAAAATTTTAAATATTACATATATAGCTTAGATCATTTTGATAATTTTGCTTCCCGAGTGCACAATCAAGCATCAGACAGTAAATGATGTGTGAGACAAACTTTGAGGTTGCAACTGAACACAATGTTAAATATCTCACCACATGGTTAATTTCTCCACCGCAGTTTCATGCATGTCATTTTTTGTTAAATACGTTTTCTGTTCCGGAGGAAGCTTTGTTAATTTCAGAGGATGCTTTGTTAATTTCAGAGGATGCTTTGTTAATTTTGGAGGAAGCTTTGTTAATTTTGGAGGTCGCTGCTAAAAAAAAGGGAGCTGTGAAAAAAAAATCTTGCCACAAAGCAATTCGGCACAAACAAAATAGATTTAAATTTTATAGAGCCAAAGTTAAGAAGTATATTGCTGTCAAGAAGACATGCATGTGTGAATAAACTGAAGAATGTATGGATTATGATATGTACTGTATATATATGTAATGCCATTTGACTGAAAAATGTGACTCCAGTCAGGATGTTTTGACCCATTTTCTCAGCCCTAAAATGCAAATTCTCAGAAATGTAATTATTCATTTTAAATCTCAGAGAGTCTGAAAACTGTTCAAATTATCTGATAACAGGTTCATTAGATTGTTACACACTTCATGTCGGTAACGCTGGATGTTATTTGCTCTGAAGCATCCTGATTGGGCACACCTCAGGTGAAAAAGGGACATTAATTAGATGGTTGATTTTGATATTAGATTGTACTTCATTTAAATGTTCAGCCCACAGTGCATGGAGACTGTTATGAATCACTAATATGAACAAAAACTGTTAACGGATGTATGGTCTGTAGTTCCCCATGGGAAGATGAATCAATTCAGGCTTATTCTTGCACTTAGTTTGACCATACAGAACCAAAACCATTGCCAGCATATCTTTTTATTTTTTCCTGTGTTGTTGCTTCTGCTGTAGGTTATTTATTGTCCCTTTTTAGGGGTTAAACCTGGAGACCCCACGCTCTGGTGATGTTTGTATTTTCACGGTTTTGATAATTAGCCAATGACTTGAAGGTGTGATTGAAGGGAAAATGTACTAAAATATGCAGAATTACTTTGAGCAAAACAGTTCAACACTCTGAAAAATAAAGGTACCAGGAAAGGTTCTCTGGAGCCATAGAGCCAAGAGTCTTTAAATCTGGACCCTGAAGAGATTCCGGTCCAGACTGTGTAATTGCTGGAACATAAGAATCTAAGTGGCCATTAGTGAGCAGTTTAATTATCAAGTCTGGGTCTGTAACTGGATTCAAGGTCTAGATATGGCTATCATACCATAGAAGAACCATTTGGTTTTGTTTTTGAGTGTATTTAAACAAAATAAGCCTCAGCAGAACCATGTTTCAGCCCAACAATATAAAACAACAACAGTGATGCATTAATAACCATTTAAGGCAGATTCAAAAACTATCAATTTCTTCTGATTTATCTGCTGTTCTCTGTTAATAATGTGATTTTTTCAGCATTGTTGCATTTATTTGATCTGTAAAGAAAGATTTCTGTCTTATAAATGGCATTTTTGAACATGAAAACAGAATTAGGGATATAAGTCACACATCAGCCATTTTCTATTAATTTATTGATTAAACAAATCAGTAATAAGTTTAAAGAAATTTTGGAAGAACATTTTGTAAAGAGGTTTGGTTTTCACATAAACAGTCTTACATAGTGCAGCTTTGAAGAACCCCCTTTGTAGATTATGTGACTAAAGGTTTTTCCAGGAACCATTTAGGAACCTTTATTTTTAAGAGTGAACGGTTATAGATTGGACTCACTGGCTCTGTTTGGTTTGAGATTTATCCTCCTACAGTGTGCCGTACCGCTGCCGCTGTATCTGTGCTCGCTCTGATTGTTTGTGATGTGTCTGCCGCTGTATTACCTGAGTTCTGTTTAAACTGAGGCTTTATGAAGAGGGAAGCTATGCAGAGGACACCTAAACGCCTGTGTTGCTGCACTGTAGGCTAGAGGAACGTCTGTAATATAACACCGCATATGACATGAATTTGTTATTAAAACGTTAAACATAACGTCTGACTTCATTTGGATGTTATGTATCATTTGTTAAAGTTACAGTAAATTACAGTAATATTGGGTTTCAGTTTCTGATATCTATTATTTTCAAATTCACCACCTGGTGGGTGACTCTAAAACAGTCTGCAGTGTTTCTGAATGTAAGGAAAGCAGTGAGGCCTCTTATTCGCCAGCTTCTGTAAACTTAGTTTGATTCTGTATATGATTCTGGGTTAATGTACACATTTGTGTGAGGACACACAAGAGTGGAGTATATAATTTCATGTCAATCAATCAACCCCAGCCCTCTGTTAGTGCAGCATGTTGAGCATTCAGTACGTTACTAATGTAACCAAACTCGATTTTCAATTTCACAAATAACAATATAACCTGTAAATCACAAAATTATGCTATTTAAAGTGAGAGAGGACTGTAATATTACACCCAAGGTATGAAATACAGGGGGTCTTGGGGGGGGTCCAAGACCCCTAATTAAGCTCTTCATCCCCCTGAATGTCTCAAACTCAAATTTCAAACTTATTATGACAAAATAAACTTGTTATGACGTTACGCTGCCTGTTAGAGAAAAACAGAAGCTCAAATCCAGATTAAGTAAAGCTGATAGTTTGTCTGCTTTTCCCACAATAAGCTTTGTTGTTTTTAGCTAACTAGAGCTGCAGCACTGCTCTGCCTCAGGGTGGCGCTGTAGCGGGCTGGTTCACCCCAGTTGGTCCTTCATAGCCTAGAAACTGTAACTCTGCCCGGATTCCTCTGAAAAACTTTACAATGAGCTGCAGCAGATCTGTAAATCTGAAAACTCGCCCAGTTTCCCAAGAGTTTGGAGTGAAGAGTGACTGTTCCTCATTTCTCACACTGAAGACAGAAGAGGAGACGAGGAAGATCTCAGTTACTGTGAGGAAGAGCGCAGAACCACACTAGAACAGAGACTCTACAGAAGAGGAGACGAGGAAGATCTCAGTTACTGTGAGGAAGAGCGCAGAACCGCACTAGAACAGAGACTCTACAGAAGAGGAGACGAGGAAGATCAGTCAATGTGAGGAAGAGCGCAGAACCGCACTAGAACAGAGACTTTACAAAAGAGGAGACGAGGAAGATCTCAGTTACTGTGAGGAAGAACACAGAACCACACTAGAACAGAGACTTAACAGAAGAGGAGACGAGGAAGATCTCAGTTACTGTGAGGAAGAGCGCAGAACCGCACTAGAACAGAGACTTTACAGAAGAGGAGACGAGGAAGATCTCAGCTAATGTGAGGAAGAGCGCAGAACCGCACTGGAACAGAGACTCTACAGAAGAACAGCTGATAAAACAAACATTTACTGACATTGAAGCATCAGCGCCGCTATGGAGAGAGAGTTAGCAGCCAGACAACATGGGACCCCCGAATACCAGGGGGTTCACACTGATTACACTTGTTTTATTGTCTCCTGACTGCAGGTGGAAATTCACCCTGAGTTTGTAGACCTGCCGGGCACAGTCAAGTCAGCAGCGAGGGAACCTTTAGGTTCTCCAGTGGAGTTCAGGGATGGCCATCATGTCTTAGACAAAACATGCAATTTGTTGTAAGCGTTTCACAAAACTTCTTCAGGCGAAAGGCGACACTTCGAATATGCACGCTCGTATCAGCGCTGTTTTCTTTAATGTTCCAAACTGTTGGTGATTTAATGAAACGTTTTTTCGTATTCACACCCCACCCCGGCCAAAACAACACAACAATAAAACGAGGAATGAACCAGCCGGGATTTGGAGAATCATTAAACCCCAAGGTGGATGATGGATGTTCAGAATCAGAATTCATAATCTGAATATTTATAATACCAGATTTACCAATAAATGTAGAAATACACTCTTAAAAACATGGTGCTTTAAGGGTTCTTTAGTAAAGAAAATTCTGTATAGAACCATGAACACTCAAAGAACCATCTGCTTGATTTGAGTTCTTTGCATCATGTTCTTCAGATGGATTTTGTATATGTGCTATAGTTGGTTCTGTATAGAACCTTTTTGAAAAGGGTTCTATATGGCACCCAAAAGCGTTGACATCATAACAATAGAACAAGTTTTTGGGTGCTATATAGAACCCTTTTCAAAAAGGTTCTACACAGAGCCATCTACAGCACCTTCTCCATCAGTTTGAAGAACATTTCATGAAGCAAATGGTTTTTTGGGTGTTCATGGTTCTTTATAGAACCACTTTCTTTACTGAAGAACCATTGAAGCACCATGTTCTTTAAGAGGGTAGATATACACACTACACAAACACACAAACTGAAAAGTTCAGAAAAGGCTCTGCAGGTTCTGTTACGCTATAAACAGGTAAGGAACCCAGACAGACGTTTTCTTCATCTTTTAGAACCTTTGAAGCCTGAAAGACGTAAACAGCAGAGCAGAGAGCAGTAATGAAGGACAAAGTGCAGTCAGAGGCTGATAAACAGGGTGTGGAGTGGACACTGATGAGTCCAGCAGACAGACAGACAGACAGACAGACAGACAGCTGTCTACTGTTTGGGAGCTGTAGACAGGTAGATACAGGTCGATACAGAAGGAGCAGTTATGACTGTTTCGGTAGTGACAGAATGAAAGATTCATTTACTCATTTTAATGAAATGAACATAACTGTAGTCAAAAGGATTTTAGTTTACAGACTAAACTGTGTTTTCAGTTCTGACTTTGACCCAGTTTGTGCTGTTAGAGGTCAGACGGCTCATGGATCTGAGAGAGAAGTTCATTTGCATAACCGACTATTCCGTTTTTAATTATTCGAATATTTAAAAATCTGGACTCGCCGTCCTCCCTTCATCAAACCGCATTATAGCAGACCTTTTATTTCATTTGTTAACTTATTTACTTATAATCTTTAAAGAAATTATTTTAATGTCCTGTTTCATCTTTCTAAAGCCAGTTTATGTTTTTCTTTGTGGCTCAACAAACAATTTTGTTAGTTGTATTTTTACATGTTTACAACACATACAGTGATGGTTACATTTAGTGTAGCGTGTGATCATATACAAGGTAAATATAGATAAATATATATACAAACATATATACAAACACCTACACAGTGTAAACCTCACATCTGCGCAGTTCTCCTTCGAATTTTCCGTTCCACCTTAATTAAGACGACAGAATGTACCAGCTGCGCCATTTAAGGTGGAGCGGAAAGTTCCCATAAGCCCATGGAGCCCATGCTGGAGCCGGCAGAACAGAAACCGAAAGCCAGGGATGAGTTTCGATTCCGTTTCCGGCCGGTTTAGCAGGTCAGGAGGAACCGAGCGGACTTTTACAGGTAGAACAACAAGCTGTGCTTATTAAAGCCTTTATCATCATATCTGAGCGATCTGTCATAAACAGACACGGAGGAGTTTATTACAATCGACTCTTCTGGAAGGTCGTGTGAATGTGTGTGTATTAATGTGTGTATTAATGTGTATTAATGTGTGTGTATTAATGTGTGTATTAATGTGTGTGTGTATTAATGTGTGTGTGTATTAATGTGTGTATTAATGTGTGTATTAATGTGTGTGTGTATTAATGTGTGTGTGTATTAATGTGTGTATTAATGTGTGTGTGTATTAATGTGTGTGTGTATTAATGTGTGTATTAATGTGTGTGTGTATTAATGTGTGTGTGTATTAATGTGTATGTGTATTAATGTGTGTGTATTAATGTGCGTATTAATGTGTGTGTATTAATGTGTGTGTGTATTAATGTGTGTGTATTAATGTGTGTATTAATGTGTGTATTAATGTGTGTGTGTATTAATGTGTGTGTATTAATGTGTGTATTAATGTGTGTGTGTATTAATGTGTGTGTGTATTAATGTGTGTGTATTAATGTGTGTGTGTATTAATGTGTGTATTAATGTGTGTGTGTATTAATGTGTGTATTAATGTGTGTGTGTATTAATGTGTGTGTGTATTAATGTGTGTATTAATGTGTGTGTATTAATGTGTGTGTGTATTAATGTGTGTATTAATGTGTGTATTAATGTGTGTGTATTAATGTGTGTGTGTATTAATGTGTGTGTATTAATGTGTGTGTGTATTAATGTGTGTATTAATGTGTGTATTAATGTGTGTGTATTAATGTGTGTGTGTATTAATGTGTGTGTGTATTAATGTGTGTATTAATGTGTGTGTATTACTGTGCGGTATGCATTTGGGTCCAGTCCATCTCAGGGTGTCGGCAGGAGCTTACATATCTGTTTGTTCGTCTGTCTATCTATCTATCTATCTATCTATCTATCTATCTATCTATCTATCTATCTATCTACCTATCTGAGGTGTGTAGGGATTTTATTTTACTGTCTGTAACTTTGTCACTTTTTCTCTGTCCGTTTTCTTTCCGTTGTGTCACTGAAGTTAATCAATAAAATTATGATTAAAATATCAGAACGTGTGTTAGAGGCAATGGCAGATGTAACACAGACAGGCTTAGGCTCTGTTGTTGTTGTTACTGACTAAACAAAACAACTCTTTATTTTGGGTTTAATTCAAGGTCTAAAATGGGAATAACTGAAAATACTTGTAACTGCAGGATCTGTTTCAGACGGCAGACTCGCTTCTTTAAGCTTAGCCCTCTGTCAGTATCATTACCCAGCTATCTCCGCTGTTCTCCACCATCTCTTACGTTTCAGATCACCATGAGCGCTGTTACGTCCAGACTGTCCAGGCAGCAGGAGCAGAAGCTCTGCTCCATGCTGGGCTGCAACAGACTCAGCCTGCTGTTCAAAGCCAGCGTTCATGGCTATACAGGAAATGCGTTCCACCAAAAGTGTGATCGTCAGGGTCCCACGGTTACAGTAGCGTACAATAACTCTGGGTATATTTTCGGAGCGTATACCAGCAAAGATTATGCCCAGTCAAACCAAAACATTATTGATGAGAAAGCCTTCCTGTTCAGCTTTAACGAGCGAGAGATGAAGAAGGACCCTCTGCGAGTGGTTAGCGGAGCTGGACAATATTCTCTCTATGATGGACCAGCAGGTCCACATTTCCACTCCTTGGTGTTTCTCTACAATGATACAGCCACTGTTTACAGCAATCCACGAAATTATAATTTTGATCCAGTGGAGATGCATGGCAACGACTTACAGCTGGTCGAGTGTGAGGTGTACAGAGTGGAGGGTAAGATACCAAATACTGATGTTTTTCAGGGAAACATCATTATTTAATTTATTTACACTGACCTGAAGGTAAACGTGGACCTCACGAGTCTGTCTTTTACTGCAGGTAGTGGATCATTCATGGAGAAACCATGGAGAAATGTTTTGTGGAATTTTGAGTAAGTAAAATGAAAATGTCAGTAACTCCTCAGAATTAGCCTCTCCACACACTTTACAAAGGCATGGTTTCAAAAATCCTATTCAACCTAATGACTCAGTAGAACACGACTCGGTTTATATCACAATACCTACATTTAGAGTCGGTTATTCATTCAGCCTAATGAGAAACTGTAGAACAGACTCGGTTTATATCACAATACCTACATTTAGAGTCGGTTATTCATTCAGCCTAATGAGAAACTGTAGAACAGACTCAGTTTATATCACAATACCTACATTACCTAATGTAACAGTGTTTTATCTTTCTTCACCACATGGTGGTGCTGTTTTACTAAGTTCAGCACAGATGATGCAGACGTTCTAAATTCCATGGTTCTTATCTGAATGGTGTGAATGCTGTGATGTTCTGAGGCCAGTAAAGAGTTCTGCTGTTTCTGTATTAATCCATATTGAACAATAACCTCTTTCTGTAGGAGGAGAAAGGCTCTGATGGACATGATCACAGGCTGGAAGCATGGAGCGAGCTCGGTGAAGCAGGCTCGTGTTCTGCTGGTTGGTCCTGTTGGAGCTGGAAAGTCCAGCTTCTTCAACTCCATTAACTCAGTGTTCAAGGGCTACGTGTCCAGCCAGGCCAACACGGGCAGTGCAGGCACCAGTCTGACCACACAGGTAGCAGATTCACACTTCGCCTTAGGACCTTCTGTGTAGTTATATTCAACTACATTTACATTTATAGGATTTACAAGACCTTATGGTCTTTGTCAGGGTGTTAGCTGGGCCTGTACAGATCTGGGGCTCAGTCTAGTTCATCGTAGAATCATTTTGGAATATAGATTTTTTAAAATTAACCTGTAAAATGTGCAGCTGCTACTTTTTATCTAATCTGAGGATTTACATATCAAGAATACATGCAGCGGCTCAGCATTGTTGATTGGGTCTTACAAAAAAACTATTATAAAACAAAATAAGAAACTACTGTAACAGAATTTTTATGCACACTGTAAAAACTCATTTTCAATTTTAAACTAATAAAAATTAGTAACCTGGCTCTGCCTTAAAACTTTAATTGCTCTTCAAATAATTAATAAATATCTGGGGCTATAGCCCTGGACGCTCCTGGTCTTTGTTTCTAGTTATCAGTCATTATGTTTTCATTTACAGCTTTGGGTAGATCATCTCATCTAAACCGCTTTGCTGCGCATCGCTGTCCACCTGTACTGGTTCAAATGTTTAAACCACACACCAAACACAGCGCTCCACTTCGTGTAGTACAGCAAACCAAAAAAAACGACTAATGTATAATTTAGCCAATAAACAGTACTTGTGCTTTAAAAGCACACAGAATGTTTTTTTAATTTTTCTAATTACTAATGATAATTTATGTTTATAGTTCCGTACCTACTCCATAAAGGCAGGCAAGGACGGAAAGCTTCTGCCCATCACCCTGTGTGACTCTATGGGGCTGGAAGAGGGTTTAAACGCTGGACTGGACATCGACGACTTCACAAGCATTCTGAAAGGTCACATTCAGGACAAGTATCGGGTGGGTCAACTGAGAGATGATGGACGCTTACATGTAATTTGTTCACTAAAACAGGGATGATATAAGATGTTTTCACATCCAAGAGTATTAAGTGAATATAAGGAGATTCTGTATTCATAGATTCATAAAACTTTGATTATGATTAGTTGCCTATCTATAAAAACCATGTTCCTTTTGTCTTTTTTCCTCAGTTTAACCCATCAATGCCTCTGCAACCAGAGTCCCCTTCATTCCTCAAAGAGCCCAGCCTGAAGGACAGGATTCACACCGTGGTGTACGTCATCAACACCTGCAAAGTCAAACTCCTCTCTGACAGAATGATCGAGAAGTTGGCAGCCTTCCGCAGGAAAGCCAACCAGATGGGTAATTAACAGTTTCGCCTATTTCTATTGAGTGCAGCCCCAAATGAGGATGGGTTCTCTCAATGGTTCCTTTTCCATGCTGTTAGGGAGCTTCTCCATTTGAGTTTTGATTCTTCTCAGTGGTTCTTCCTCATGTTCTGAGGGAGTTTCTCCTTTTGGGTCTTGCTTCCTCTTGGTGCCTCTTCATCATGCTTTTATAGATTTATTTTTTTGATTTTTGGTTGCTCTGAGTATTTCTAGCTTTTGAAACCTGGTCCTTCTCAGTGGTTCTTCCCAGCGCTCTGAATGAGTTCTCCTTTTCGAATATTAGTTCTTCTCAGTGTTTTTTTTCTTATGCTTGTAGAAGTCTTGCTTCTTCTCAGTAGTTCTTCCTCTTTTCTTCATTGTGAGCCTTGGTTCCTCATAGTATTTCTTTATCATGCTTTTAAGCTTTTTTAACCTGCAAATCTTCCTCAAGTTCTTCCTTTCGAATTTTGGATCTTCTCATTTTTTCTGAGTTTCTGAGTTTCTTGAGTCTTTGCTCTTTCTCATGGTCTTAAGGGTTTTTTCACTTTGAATCTTCATTTTAGTGTTTCTTCCTCAAGCTTTTAGATGGTTTCTCTTTTTTGAGGTCTGGTTCTTCTCAGTGGTTCTTTTTGATGCTCTTAGGGAGTTTTTTCTGCCACTTTTTCCCTCGAACGATTTGGGACAAAATCTATTGTAGAAAGCACATTAAAAAGACAGGACTGAACCGCTATTTCCTTTCAGGATTTCATATTTTTATGCAAGGATCTCCAGAATTGTTTACATGATACTGAGCAGCAGTCTTGACAGTTCCAGCTGCAGTGATAATGTGGATCAGGACAGTTTCAATGTGGAACTGAGGAAACATTGTGAGAATGGTATCTTGCCATGTTTGGGTGATTCATTAAACCCTTCCCTAAATCAAAGAACTGATTCCAAAGTTCTCTACTTTTTCAGAAGCAGTATTATTTGCTGTTCTTTGCTGTTCTGTCCTTTATACAGGAGTCCCACAGCTGGTTCTGCTGACCAAGGTGGATGAGGCCTGTTCTTCTGTGGCGGCGGATCTGAAGACTGTCTATCAAAGCCTTTACATCCACAAAATGGTGAGATTTATTTACTGTAAATATGTTTGGAAATCAGAGTGGATCAACTTCCTGTAAAAGTAGCTACACATATACAAATTCAGCAGAACCTATAGCGAAAGTTCTTTGCCGCAGATGCAGGAGATCAGCGCAAGTCTGGGAGTCTCTCTGTCCGCTGTGGTTCCGGTGAAGAACTACAGCCAGGAGCTGGAGCTGGATCCTCAAACTGACATCCTGCTGCTGAATGCAGTGATTCAGATGCTCAGAGCCACTGAGAGCTTCTTCGATGATCTTCACCAGGAGGATAATTAGACCCCAGACTGCAGATGATACTAAGTGCTAGATTTGGCTGGTTTAAAGTCAGGCTAACTCATTCTCAGTCCAGCAGTGACACTGAGGTGTTTAAAAACTCCAGCAGCACTGCTGTGTCTGATCCACTCAGACCAGCACAACACACACTAACACACCACCACCACATCTGTGTTACTGCAGTGCTGAGAATGATCCACCACCCAAATAGGACCTGCTCTGTGAGGGTCCATGGGGGTCCTGACCACTGAAGAACAGGGTAAAAGGGGGCTAACAAAGTATCAGAGAAACAGATGGACTACAGTCTGTAACTGTAGAACTACAAAGTGCACCTATATAGTAAGTGGAGCTGATAAAATGGACAGTAAAGTAGAGGTCAAACAGGGTTTACTAACTCTTTGTTTTTATTAATATTTCACATACGGTCCCAACTGAGGTTTGTACACTAATGTAACAACTGAAAGGCATCTTGGGCCACTTCCTGAAGTGGTCTCATTGATCAGTTATAAATCTACACCTGCATTCTAATCTGTCCATGATCCGTAATCTGGATAATCTCTATCTGCATGTAATCTTTGAAGACACAACCAGGTGTAAACAGGGTCATAATGTGTACTAACATGGTGAACCAGTCGTAGGAGTATCTAATAAAGGACCAATAAGTGTACAGGCACCTGTATAGTAGGTGTACCTAATGAACCATGTGAATGAGCAAGTAGAATAGGTTAATACTGAAGCTTAGCCTGATTGATGCGACTTGACTTTGGTTCATTAACCTGGCATGTACTTGGAACTCCATTTAAGTGATATTTAACACTTCCGTGATTCTTGCTCCACGATACTGTGATTGGATGAGAAGCACCAGTTAAAGCTAAAACTGTGTCATGCTAACAAAAAGCACTTTGGAGGAATGCTACTGCAAAAGAGAGAATGTAGGAAGGCTGATCGCAGCTGGCGTAAAAAAAAGCTTCAGATCCACAAAGAAGTCTTCAAAGATAGGCTGCGTGATTACAACACTATAACGTGCAAAGTTAGACCTTTTTCTCTAGCATTATCAACAATAATATTAAGAACAGCAGAATACTCTTCGCCATGGTTCACAAACTAAGTCGCCTACATATATGGACCCTGAATTCGTATCATCTGAGAAATGCAATGAGTTTGCTACATTTTTAAGACTAAAATCCAGAGTATCAGCCAAGCCATTAATACATCTATATGCGCCAAAAAGCCCATGTGCTCTCCATCACCATGTAAAGATATCAAGGTTAAAATGTCACAGTTCTATCAGTAATGAAATTTTAATTGATACAGTGAATCATCTCAAATCTTCCACTTCACATGTTACCAACCAACTTCTTAAAGAACGTGTTTTACTTAATAGCAGCAGACATACTTCAGATAGTAAACACCTCACTTCTGTCGGGCGATTTTCCTAACAAATTAAAAACTGCAGTTGTGAAGCTGCTCTTAAAAAAAGTTAAATCTAGAAGCAACTCTATTAAGTAATAACAGGCTGATTTCAAATCAAATTATTGAGAAAATTGTCTTTAAGCAACTTACTGGCTTTCTGTCCTTAAATATCTGTCTAGACAAATTTCAGTCAGGTTTCAGCCTAATCATAGTACCGAAAGAGCTCTAATTAAAGTGATTAATGACATTCTCTTAAATACAGACTCTGGAAAAACATCTATTACTGCTCGATCTCAGCACTGCCTTTGATACCATTGACCATATATTTCTCATGGATAGACTTGAGAACTGTGTTGGGCTCTCAGAGACTGTCCTAAAATGGTTCAGTTCATACCTGCAAGGAAGGGACTACTTTGTGGAAATAGAAAATATTGTTTCTGAGAGAGTGCCAGTGACCGGTGTTGTACCGCAGTGTTCAATTCTTCGGCCGATCTTATTGAATTTATACATGCTGCCTCTCGGCTAAATACTACAAAAACATGGAATATCTTACGACAGCTGTGCAGATGATACTCTGACCTATTTGGCCCTTTCCCCAAACAACTACGGTCCCCTTGACTTACTGTGTAAGTGCCTTGAGCTCATCACTAACTGGATGGAACAAAACTTTCTGCTGTTGAATAAAGATAAAACACAGATTATTTTATTTGGGAATAGCAATGAGAGGCTCAGACTGGCTGCCTATCTCGATTCAACAGCCCTTAAATCTAAAGAACTAGTATGTAACCTTGGTTTACTGATGGACTCTGATCTCAGTTTTAGCAGTCGTATCAAAGCAGTTACTAAATCAGCTTTTTATCACCTTAAGAACAACATCAAGATCAGAGATGTTCAGACTGAAGCAGACCTGGAGAAGCTCATCCACGCCTTTATTTCCAGCAGGATTGATCACTCTAATGGTCTCCTAACTGGACCCCCAACAAAGACAATCAAACAGCTTCAGCTGGTTCAGAATGCAGCTGCCAGAGTCTCACTAGGAGTAAAAGAAGGACCCCCATTATTAAATCCTCACACTGGCCACCAGTCTGTTCAGAATAGGCTTTAAGGAGCTGTTACTGCTCTATAAATGTCTTAATGGTCAGGAGCAGCGTATTTATCTGATCTGCTGCAGCAATATGAGCCTAGCAGAACTCTCAGATCATTAGGAACTGGTCAGTCAGTCCTGCCGAAGGTGAACACTAAACATGGAGAAGCAGCGTTTAGATACTGTGCTGCTCTTAAATGGACCCAGTGGACAGAGAGCATTAGAAGAGCCCCGACACTGGACACTTTAAATCAGCCTGAAAACGATCCTGTTAGAGCAGCTTTCAGCTCAGTTTAAACACTGTTAGCCCTTATAGCCCTTCTTATCTGTAATGGCACTTTATTATCCTAATGTAATTTTTTATTTGATTTTCAATTACACTCATTAATTTAGTGATTCTTCTCTTTTAAAATCTATTGTTTTAATCATGTTTTTATTTCTACTCTCCTTTACTTTTTGAATTACTTGTATTTTATCATTTGTAAAGCACCTTGAATGACAGCAGTGTATGAAAGGTGCTATATAAACAAAGTTGCCTTGCCTTGCCTTTAGGCTAAACGACTTAAACTAGCAAAGTGATGACTTGTTGGCACGTCTGCCTGAAAACGAAAACTACAGTTTAGTTTCAGTTGTGCTCTCAGTCATCCTGTCTGAATATTGGCAGTTTGGCTAGTCAAGACAAGACAGCCCCTCTTCCACAGGTAGGACTATAAGCTCTATTTGTTAAATAATGAATACTTGCAGTGACTTGTATGAACTGCACCTTCACAAAATTCTTAGATCTTTTTATTTTGGTTTGATGTGAAAATAGCTGAGGTGATGCAACTGGATTGGAATGAAGAACAAAGGTGTCATTACAAATACGGCATAATGTTACGTTGGGTTGCATTGAAATCAATATATAAGATGGTAAAGAGTTTTTTTAAAGGTATATATTTTAAAGCATATCTTTTAAACTGGCATGATCTCATGAAGCCTGATAGTAACCTGGTTTGACTGATTGATTGAACAGGGTTTTGTGAAGATATCATTTAGCTGGATCAGGTGTACTAGATTCTCTCTGCTGTCAGGCACAAGTAGACCATCGTCGAACTTTATACCGTCACCATTCAACGCTGTAAATGCACTAGTTTAGTTTAGCTGAAAGGCAGTATTATAATGAGTGTCATAAGCATCACTTTATTTTATATTGCTACTATTCTACATTGACTACATTGGATGTTGTTTATATATGGTAGACTGTAAAATGAAATGTACTTTTTGCAATTCTAATCATTGAACCTGCTGTTCTCAAATGTGTTTGAGGGTTTGAATGGAAGTTTAATAAAAAATTCTGAACGTTTGAATAAATAAATCAACATTTTGTAAACTCACACCTTTTCAAAACTGTTGTTTCCCTTTGTTCATCACAGCCATACCTGTAGAACGTCAGTGATAGGTTTAGACACACCTATGCAGATTCTCACTGGGTTTGAGTTCAGTAGGACAAACTTTCAAAATCTCCTTTTACAAAAATTGAAAGCTGCAGTAGAGAAAAGCACATCAGCAATGCCACAAATACAGATGTTGATTAACTAATTCAGGCAAGTATAACTGTATATATGCTACTCCATTCTTATCTTCAAACAGGGCAGATCAGCTAAGTGAAAGTGACAGTTTGTATAGTTCTCTCTGCTGCCTTTTTGTGTTGTTCTCTTTTGTCACCTGTTCTTAGGTCCTAAGCTCCAGTCATGATAGTAAAATAGGCTGAAATAGTAAACTTGATTTCATCCACTGCACCAAATAAACCACATGCGATGTCATCACACCTGATTCAGCTAATCAGGGAACCAGCCCTGTGACCAGAAGGTCACCGGTTCAATCCCCGGAGTCGACAGTACGTGACTGAGGTGCTCTTGAGCAAGACACCTAACCCCAAACTGCTTCCCTGGCACTGTGGATAGGGCTGCCCACCGCTCCGGGCAAGTTTGCTCAGCGCTGACTCTGAGTGTGTTGACTAGTGTGTATGCGGTGTTTCTCTGCACAGATGGGTTAAAATGCAGAGGTGAAATTTCCTCGCTGTGGGACTAATAAGGGTCACTTAATCTAAACTGAATTCAGAGCGTTAGATGAGTGTAAATGCTAATATGCACAGCAATTTGGCCCGGAAGGCCCCCAGTTTGGCATGCCATGTACTAGAGAAGTGGTTCCCAACCCAGTCAGTCCACTTTTTTGCTCCAACAAACTGCAACACATGGGGATGAAGGAAAAATGTGGAATGTCTGGGGCCCTGAGGGCTAGGCTGGGCAACACTGTGCTAGAGGTCTACGTGGGCATGAAATTGAAGCCCAAACCTGACACATACTTACGACTTTGAGATCCAGCCCAATCCGGTCCAACCTGGCCCATCTGGTTCTGCTAGATTTGAAGCCTGAACCCACCCGCCTGCACTAAGAAAGGTGGATTATCACCTGTTGGTTGGTTTTACAGAGCTTTACTTTGTTACTGAGTGCTTGAGTTGATGGACAGAAAAGCACACACTGGGATAAAACTGGTATTTCACACATCAGTAATACATTAACAGTATTTACTATCAGGATATTTTTGCAGAATTGCTGATGATACCTGACAGAGAACAGTATCCGCCCTCCATTGATCAACTGTTAAC